AGCTGTGCGTATATTTAAATAGACAACCAGTTTCCTTTGAATAAAGGCAAATGATTCGAATCCACTTGACCCACTTTCGTCTAACTGTTTTATCAGTACACGCTTTGATTTGAATGCTGCCGGTTATATCGCTTACTTTATACGCAACGCGCACATAGGCACCTAACTGTATATTGAATATATAAATGTACGCCCTTGCGTTGGTGGCTGCATGTGAATTTGAATGCAATACTTTGTGAATGACATTTAAAAGCAATGCAGCGTTTGCACAGCTCAAAGCCAGGGAGTTTGAAATACAAAAAGAAACAAACTGCCAGAGAAAATATAGTTAAAAAGTGCTTTGCGCACAATGCTGAGTAAGAGCATTCTGTCGCTCCAATAAGCAATGCGCCCACAGATCTAGCTGAAGTCAAGCAAAGCTTTTGGCATGCTTCGGAGTCAGAGGACTCACATGCTCGCGAGTGTGTGCGTGAGTGTGCGCTTTCTGCTGCAGAGATAATCAGCAAAAGTTGGTACTCGTATGACAAACGTTTTCAGTGTGTTTGTTGTGACTAACTTTGCTATCTATCGCTAAAGTATGCGGAAAAAGTTGTATGGAAAAGGATTTACTTCGATGCACTGATAAAATTATTAACTGAGCATTAGGTTTGCATTGTTGAAACTTCAAAAGTTTTTTTTTTGCTGTGGGAAATTGAATTAGCGTAAAGTTAAAAAAGAGTGACATGATTGCTGAAAACTTCTTTTTAGAGATTTTTGTTTTTTGAAAAACAGAAAATGTAAGAAAAGTATTCAGTCTATAAGTCTATAACCTTAACCTGAGATTCCCTTTAGAAACCGATCAACAGTGATAAAATTTGTTTTTTAATATAACTGTATATGTTTGTAAAAATATTTATAAATACATAATTGCTTTCGATTTGCTGCAACTTTGTGAGTGGCGAATCGAACAAAAAACTTGTACAAATAAAGCAGACGTATAATTGGTATAATAACTACAATGACTAGCGATTATATCGTTTTAATGGAAACTATCTTCGATTTGCTAAAGTTTTGGAGAGTAGTGTGCCAGAAACAAAAAAAAAATAATATTAAGAAGTGGCATAAGTCATACAGTTGGCATAAAAAAATCGAGAGATATGATAAGCACATATACTATACTCTAATAAAAGTTGCCTTCCATTCTTCAAGACTTTGAAAATCAAAGTATGGAACCACTAGATTCAAACCATATAATACTGGCATAATCAAATATTAGAGAACAATTGGTTATACCACTTTATATCAAAAACTCCAAATACTATTTGTACTCGTATTATATTATTTTAGTCAATATTTTGTTGGTGATTTTATTAGTAGTTTTCATAAGTTAGGACAGTTTAGATATAGCGAGTTTAGAAGTGACGAATCGAACACATTTTAAAATTACTAAGTAATACTTGTACGTCAAAACTTTCCAACAAGCTAGCGAATGGTGTTCCAAATATGCGCCGAAACCGAAAAAATCAAAATTCACTGAAGGCCATCCCAGCCGAGGTTTATAACAAGTGTATGAAAATTAAAACAGTTGACTAACTACAGGGATGTAGAATAACATGAAGTAATAATTTTTTAAGGGAAGAATACAAATAAAACAGTAAAAAACTTAATTTATTGACTAAACGGTGTCGGTATTGAAACGGTTTTTTTTGTCGATATCGACCGTGATTTGTGAAATATTTACGATCGATAAAAAACTTGATTCTATTATTTTTCGAATACTAGCTATTTATAAAAATCGTGTAATTTCCCAAATTATTTAATCGATGAATTTATCGCCACTAATTGTGTACTTGTCTTATATAATATTCATTCATGCGGTACTCACGTTCTACAAGCTCCAACAATTATACTAAGTAACAGCAACAAACAAATGTCTGGTAAATTACCTGAAAAGAGAAGAGTGAAACTGTAGGTTAATTTACTCAGGAGAATACTTTAGTTAAGGCAATGGAAGAAAAAGTATTTGAAAATAATATTTATTTTTTTTTGTTTCAAATATAAAAAATATATACGTACATGCATATGCTATTATTGTTATGCAATTATCTATATGCAAACTTGGAACTAGCTCGTAACTCCAATAATTCACATAAAAATTAAAAATAAAAAAAAATAAAAAAATGGTTGGAAGTGATTAAAATGAATTTAAAATAATTATAGCTCGTAATCGAAATTAACTTCAATAACTTACATAAAAATTACAAACAAAAATATGTTGACCTAATATAAACACTTTGTTTATAAAATTATAAATTAAAATTTTTTTAAATTTGTTAGTATGTACACCCTATAAGGTATTCATATATTTGAAGTAATGAATGGTAATGACAAAATAATTGCAATTAAATCCGAAACGAAGCAGATACAAAGGCCATCAAAGCTTGGTGCGTGTACGTCAGAGTTGCCACATTGCATTGAAAAGAAGTAGTGAAAAGTATAGAACAAAAGTTATAGCGAAATCTAACAACAATTGTGCGCGCATTTGTTACAACAAGGAAATGGAAAGAAGGCGACAAGTGTTGAAACAAGAAATGCAACAAATAAATAATAGAAATAACCGAGTATTGAGGTTGATGAACTGGAAGAAATAGCAATGTATTTATGCTATGATAGTATTAGCGCATGTGTGTGTGGGTAACTATTTCTGCGGTATAATCAGCGCGCACATGTTGTTGTGGGCCTATTCTATGAAAATATTTCACACGCGAGTCTATTTACACCTGCACTGCGACGTAAGCTCCCCACACGAGCCACACAAGCGCTAGCAATTGCCACACACACACATACACAGGCACATATACACTCACACCTACAGAGGCATTTGTGAGTACAGCGAGTAGATAAAGCACACAAAGCCCAGCAGGAAGAGCAGAACAGCTACAATAAATGAATAGTTATAGAAAGGATATGTCGATGCATGCAGGTGTATGTATGTATGTATGTGTGTGCGCGTGTGGGAAATTGTGTCGTTTGCATAGAAAAATTGCACGTGCAAGCATATGCTCTACACAAACACAAATTTAGCTGCTTCAGCCGTTCATTGCCACATTGGCGGCAGCATGTTATGCAAATGACATCGTGAAATTGTAACTTATAGGCGAGTGTAATTTACAGCAGTACAGTGACGCTTGAAATTGTACAGTAGTCTCATGTTAAAATTTTATAAAATGTCTTCAAGCACATATTTTAAAGGAGACAAATCGCAGAAAGGGTGCTATGGCTTAAAAACTATCCACAATATTTTATAATATTGAAATGCGAGTGGAAAAGTTATATCTCAGTTCCAGATTGCAAAAAAAACTAACTGCGAAAAGTAGTAAATTTTTTCACAGGTGTCGGCTTTTTTGGATTCTATGCAGTATTCTTACTTTTATTATAATATTAAATAATGAAATATACCGTTTTTTTAAAGATGAAAAAGAAATTCGTTGACGGATGTCGAGACATCGTATTTGAAAATGACAATTCCTCAAAGCCCACTTATTAAGCAAACACATTTGACATTCTTGAAACTCTTCTATTAATAAACCTCCTTAATTTAACTGAGGTGCCTGCCTTGACTTCGAGTCTTTCTAAAACGGTGAAAGTGATTGCTCTTATACTTACTTAGTCGTGTTGCCACATTGGTCAAACTTTAATCGTGAGTTTGAAAAGTTCGGAGTTACCTGGAGAAAGTTGTATTAAACAGAATTTTTATATATTTTAACAGATTTAAAATCTATTCTATTTGAGAAACAGAAACTTTAGAACTCCAACTTTGGGAAGGATTTAGAAAGAAAAGGAAATTTAGGTCAGAATTTTGCATTATCTTACTGTAAGCACTTTAAAAAATATATAAAGAATTTAGTTTTTAGTAAAGTTTTTACATTTCTGGGAACTTAGAACTTGTTTTAGTTTTATACTGGCAACAATTTTTTGGGCGGTAGGTAAATTGAATTCAAAACTCTTCTGTTTTCGCATATTCTATAAGCCCCTAATAAAAATGCTTCATGCCGCACAATACAATTTTACTGTGACTACAATGCGCCTATTTTATTGCGGCAAGCACAGTAAAAAAAAAAACAAAATAGCAGACATAACATTGACGTTAGCTAAAGCTTAAGCTGTCGAGGTAACGACTGCTGCCATTGGCCGTTATCAGTGTTGCACCTCAAATGCTTTTCGACTATGCTGGCAGTGTTTTCAAAATATAGGTATGCATGTATTTTACGTACGTGTATGGATAATAATTTAGTTGTGTATTTATTAGGGGTATACATAATTTAATTACTTGTATATATTTGGTTTCATAATTAGTGGAAAGTGAATTTTTAAGATCTTGGATAAATTCTAAACATATAAAACGCAATAAAAGTCTTAAAATCATAAGCTTTCTGGGGCTAAATTGAGTTAGTCAGAGTCTAAACAATTGTTAGCTCTGTTGACAGAGTCCTGAAAAACTCGCTTTAAGATCTGTACACCATTAAATCCGAATGAGTAGAGTATGCTACTGATAGAAGGCAGGTGAGCTTTCGATAAACAAGCTTTTATTTTCAGATTTAAACATTTGAAGAGGGTTTAAACGACGATTTTATAACAATGAGCCCTAATTCGATTAGAAAAAAATAGCGTTAATTTTCTCTGTGTTAAAAGCAGCCTCTATTCTTTCTGTTAGTCTACCCTAATGCAAATATGTATCCATCTCCGTATGCATATGTGCAAATGCAGGTGAATGAATGTATTACTCATATGTGTGTGTGCGTGGGTGGCAAGTGGTATCTATTAGCACGTTGATGACCTGGTGTCATACGAAATAAGTCACGTTTCAGCTAGATCGGACAACGTGTGTGCACTATTTTGTTGTATTCTCTTTATTACTAACTGACGCATACACACATACATATAATATATGATATGAATAAGTATTTGTTTCTTGTTTTTCTAAATATCCGTATAAGTGAATATGCAAATTAGTATGTCTAAATGCCTAATTGAGTCAAGTTTCCGTCTGCATACCGGGTAATTTAAAGAATTACAACTTAATAACAAAAAAGTTCGTTGCATTTATGTATAGTAATGACTACTGTTAATTATAAAGTTATTGTACTATTACATTATTTTTGTCTTATTGAAAGATATGTGAAGTTAAAGCGTTAATGATGCTTTCAGAACATCTAAAGAAAAGCTTTATAGCTTGATTTCTCATGTCAAGAGCTGATTGGAATTTTACTCTCAATATTTTCGGAACCTCCGAGTATTTGACAAATAATAATATATCGAGCTGTCAATACTGGGTTAATGTTGACTTAGTGGGTAGTACAAAAGATTACGAGTTCTCTGCGTAAGAGCTATAAATATATTCCTTTTTCTTTCCTATTTTAATATTATCGATTAGTGAGTACCTCTGTTGGTCAAATGCAAGGTGAATGCAAATGTTCACATACATACAAACTGTAAGCACTACTAGTATAATAATAACACAAATAGATGATAGTGTTTTCTTCCGAAAAGAAACACTATCATATATTAGGGTGCGTCCGTTTTAAATGCCAGAGTTTAGATTGCCAAATAAGTATTGTTTATAAAAGCAATTAAAATAACTTCCCAAAAGTGCTTGAGGCTTGAGAAAAATGCTGAAAATATTTTTTATAAGGGTTGCCAGCTTTATAAAAATTTTAAGTAAAAAAAGCTGATAAAAGAAATGCACTACATAATGGGTATCAAAGTGAAGCTATAGATAAAGGCAGCTGATATTATTTAGGAAAAGAACTGCCACCTATTTTAAAAAATTTCTGAGAAGGTTTGACATCTAATTAAAAAAAAATACTTATATTGTAATATAACACTGCCAAACGGGTAAAAAAGGAAAAAGTTTTAACAGCTATTGGAAAATTTTTGACACAAATTTTTCAAAATTTTATTTCATTAAACACCATAAAAGAAATGCTGGGTTACACGATGAGTATCAAACCAAAGAGGTTTAAGTAGTTCATAGTGGAAATTATTAATTATTTTCGTAAAAATTGCCAGCTGTTTAAATTTTCAATTGAAATTGAAAAATATAGTAAATATTTCTAGATATCCCTGTTAAAAAGGCTTAAGAAAAAATTCTGTGGAAAATATTTTTGATAAATGTTCCACCTGTTTGAAAATTTTCATGTAAAAAGTTATTGTTAAAATAAATTCGATATTACTAAGCTGGTACAAAATAAAAATAAACATAAATTTATTGCCAACAGAAATATTTTCAAAAGGATTAGCAGTTTAGACATCAATCGAAAATTTTTCTTTCAGATTTGTTAAGTAGCGTTAATATTATTTAATATCTTAAAGCATTTTGAATATCTTGAATTTAGGAATATATATATTTTTCTGCTTTAAAATGTTACAATTTTTTGTTTTGCTTTTTCAAATTTACTTATTTATGTACTTGAAACTGTACTTTTTTGTAATATTCTCTATTTTCGTATGGTAACCACTAATTTCTTATATTTTTCCAAAACACGACATTTAAGATTCTCTAGAAGCAGAACTACATGGTTATTAAGAACTTATATATATATATATACAGTATACGTTTGAATGCACTTTTACCTGCCAACAGAAATATATTGGCACAGATGTGGCTGTCATATGGCGTTAAAAATTAATTGATTTTGCTATTTGTGGCCGCAAATTGCAATTACATTTAACGAGTTGATTTATTTTCTCTCCTTCACACCTAGCCAATATACATATGTGTGTATGCATAATAAGTATATACTTATATGTATATGTGTGTGTTTATAGCGCAATATGTATGGTTAAGGAGAATTTTTTTATGAAGATACTTGAATAAATGTAGAGATCACTCACTATATTGGCTTTAAAAATAAATCGAGTGAAATAAGACATACATGCTGGGGCTAATTTTATACTTTCCATAGACTGATTAGTTTGCGTTTAACAAGATTTTGCGTCTATCCAATTTGGCTGAGAACAAGCCAACCACCTACCAGCGCACATATATATTTATATTTGATCCATTATGTAATATTACAGTACTTAGCTGATTCTTTGGGCGGATATTAAGCAAATGGTTGGGTTAAGAGATGTAATTGGCCAACGAAGGTTCAATATTCGTCGCTATGTTGCTGAACGAAGCTATGATGGGTCGCACTGACTAGTCTAAGGTTGCATATTTAATTTAAATTGTTTGTAGATGACTGCCTACTTACAAAAGTGTTTAGTAAGTATGCATGTAAATATGTTCTTGTTTACTAGTACTCTAGAAACCAGTATTATATACTATACACAAGTGTATATACCATATGTGTAGATAAATTTGTATACTTTATACTCTCGGCTTGCGACGGTATGGATAGCATGCCGGAGTAAACGGTAGGTCACAAGTGCTCGAGTAATTATCATAATTTATACAATGATGTTTCGTATAATCCAGGAAGCAAACATATACATATAACACATATGTTTACATACAAATTTATACTACATGTAAAGCGTTGGATATGTCATAGCATACAGTTCATTGACTTTAACGAAGAGTTAACGACAGTTAAAAGTTTAATTGTCGCATAAACATGGGTTGCAATGTATAAATGGAGTGGTTAGAATGTTATCCTTGCCAGTATATGTGAAAGTTAAATATATGAACAAATAATAAATTGGCTTAAAGAGAATGCCCTATATTTATTTATTTTATGATGAATAGAGCGAAACGAAATTTTTTTCTCAGATACTATTGTGGTTAAATCGGTTGAGAACTACAGGCAGTGTAAGCGACTTGAGGGAAAATGTATGTAACTAAATGTAACATTCTTTTCCAGAGCAAAAAATAAAGCGCAGGATATATACAAAATTCTATTTACATAAGGATTATCTAAAATAATTTATATAATAAAAAAAAATTAGAGACTTTCTGAATGTAAACTGAGATACTCACCAAAATCGAACATAACCTAAAAATCGTGTATTTACGAAAACTGAAGTTAATATATCCTATATAGGGTATATTATTGCAAATGTAATATATTTTATACATATATACATATTTTTCTGAACTATTTTGAGACGCTTCGAAATACCTACGTTAATACAAGTATTTATTTCTAATTCAAAAATATAAATTATGTTAATTTAAACTGCTTTCTTTTTCAAATCTGCTGCGCGACTTTACTAAATTATGCGCCTAACTGTAGGCAATACTTTGTTATTATTACCGAAACACCTACAGCAATAAATAAAAGCAAATGATCTCCATTTAAGATGAAAGAAGACTGGGTGCATATTTTTTTATAATGATAAACATGCGATGAATTAAATTATTGAAATAAATTTTTTTTTTGTTTAATTGTGTATACTTAATAGTAAAATTGCCATAAAATTTAAGCCATCTTAGATTGTCCCATAAATACATTAGACGAGTTTTTAGAGCAGAAATTCAAACGGGGGTATGTTTGTTGAGAGACGACTCTGGTAAATTTTGTTTTATTATTTTAGGCTTGGATTCTTTTTAGAATTAAATCTTCGAATAGATAATCAAATCGGCGACGCAATTGTGGAATTTTTTAAAAAATATTGAAAACTATTCGTTTAAATTGAAAGTATAATTTCACTAGAAACCCAAAATTATTTTTCTGTTACCATTATTGCTGTTACTTTTGTATCAGTTAATTTTTCATTTCACTGAAAGCCTTGTAATATTGTATGATTTTTGGTAAGTTAGAATATACTGTGAAAGACATTTTGGTGAGAATATGTGACACTAAATTTGTTAGGTTATTAAACAGGATATTTTTATCTTCATTTTTATTACAGCACTAAACAGTGAAATTTTAAATTAAATTTAGCGAATATAAAATTTTAATAGTTTTGCGTTTTTCGTAAATGTACACATATATAACTATAGCAGCAAAATATTAGTCAAAGGTGCATAACACGGTGAATTTGGTGAACTTGAAACAAAAATATTTGAAAAAAAAAACGTTGAATATACAAATAAGAAACTCGCCGGCTTTCAAAATATTTCATTGAAATAATTTTTATTTTTAAGTATATTTTTAAATTTTTTACCTTCTCATTTTGTCAAGAGCTTGCCGTGGGCGTTGATGATACAACATATGCGAGCAGGTGAGTAAGAAAGATGGGCTACAAGAGGAGCAGTGGCGGCAATCCAAAATATTTTTTTACTTTTTAGATTATTGCCGGTAAGACATGTTTCGCCCAGCTGTTCACGTGTGAAAATGATTTATATGACTTAGCGTTGACATTTGACAACACTTTTTTCTGGTAATTCAATTGAAATAATTCAATAAATTTAAGCTAATATCCCGCAATATTTGTGTTTAATTTATGAAGCTGTTTTTTATTTTTATTTTAATACTAAATGCCGCTAATTTGCATACAAATTATGTTAAGAGACCGGAAGTGTGCGTAGGCGTATACGTAATATATGTGTATTGTAATGAGGGAGCCTGTTGTACATTACTCATACCACCTGTCCGCCACGCAAGAGCAGTGGGGTAAGTGAGTAACACATTTTTTTGAAGAAGATGTTATGTTATGTTTTTATACACATACTTCAAAAATTGATTTTTTGTAGTAAAATAAAATAAAAATAACTTGATTACCTGCTTATTTTTCAGGTTCAGGAATCAGCACTTGCTGACAAAATGATAACATCTAATTAAATTTTCCTGAGGTTTACTATACATCTTAGTAATGTGTTGACTGCCGCAATTAATGTGCTTATCAACATGTGAACAAGTTGCTTAAACATTTTAGCAATGAAATATATACATATATAATATATAAATATATAATTATATACTAGTGAGTTTTATTTGTTTACAGATGAGCAGATAAAAACCAGCAAGTGATAGGAGTAATCAAGTTAGCTCAAGGACTCGATGATAGGTGGTAAAAAAATTAATTTGTAAACATATGTTTAGATAAGTGGCAAGCATGTATATTAATGTATGTGTATATGCATATACTTTCAGAGTTTAGTGAAACTCTTTTTTAAAATTAAAGTATTATTAAAAATAAATACATAAAAAGAAAAATTAATATAGCTTAGCTTTTTTAAGTTAATTAAATAATAAAAACTCGGAATTGAAAGATTAACTTAAATTTAGATAAAATTATAAAAGATTATTTTGTATGCTCAATAAAAAACAAATTATGCAAAAAAAGTACATGATTGTGCAAAAGATGTATTCCAGAGTGATAAAAATATTGTTTTCCGAAGATAATAAAATAAAAATTTAAATTGATGTTTATAAATATATTTAAAGAAACCAATAATAATTTTTCTTACTCAAATAATTATAAAAATATATATTTATTCTACAATTTGGGTTATATTTTTTTTATATAGTGTATACTACACAAAGATGAGTTCCATAAGCGCAAAAAAATTTACATTTGGGTGGCCTCAAAATGGTATTATTGCTAGAAAATCGCATGTATAAACCTATAGATATATCATCTGAAAACCTTTCTTAGTATTTTATTTAAGAATATGTATTACCAGAATATTGACTACAAATAAGGGTAAGGGTTTGCTATTCAAATAGATATTCATGTGTGGACACGGTAAAAAAAACTCATCATCCACTTAATTGGTTATATTCACTTCCAAGTAAAAAAACGCACTTCATTATGAATTTGTTGTTAAAGGGATGTCATATTTAATAAATAAATAAAAAAAAATAGTCATTTACGGCATTCATCATTTTTGGACAAAATGGCGGCTTCCCCAAAAGAGTAGTTTTTTGTTACACTTCAGTAGCTAAAAAATCAAAATAATTAATGAAATTCGGAAGGTCGCGTGAAAATTTCAAGTTGTTTCAGGGAAATTTTCCTCACGTACTAAGAGAATAGCGTTTCGGATTACAATAACTTAAAAAAGTATTACAAATACTATATCCGAGACTATTTGCTGGATCTACATATAAAAAACCTTTTTTTGTATATCACAAGTGAGGGTAAGGGGTTAATCTTAGTAAAGTTAAATCTATTACCGATAAAAAGAGAGAGATTTGCCAACAGCACACACATACACAGGCACATATACACTCACACCTTACAGAGGCATTTGTGAGTACAGCGAGTAGATAAGCACACAAACCCAGCAGGAAGAGCAGAACAGCTACAATAAATGAATAGTTATAGAAAGGATTTCGATGCATGCAGGTGTATGTATGTATGTATGTGTGTCGCGTGTGGAAATTGTGTCGTTTGCATAGAAAAATTGCACGTGCAAGCATATGCTCTACACAAACACAAATTAGCTGCTTCAGCCGTTCATTGCCACATTGGCGGCAGCATGTTATGCAAATGACATCGTGAAATTGTAACTTATAGGCGAGTGTAATTTACAGCAGTACAGTGACGCTTGAAATTGTACAGTAGTCTCATGTTAAAATTTTATAAAATGTCTTCCAAGCACATATTTTAAAGGAGACAATCGCAGAAAGGTGCTATGCTTAAAACTATCCACAATATTTTATAATATTGAAATGCGAGTGAAAAGTTAATCTCAGTTCCAGATTGCAAAAAAAAACTAACTGCAAAAAGTAATAAATTTTTTCACAGGTGTCGGCTTTTTTGGATTCTATGCAGTATTCTTACTTGTATTATAATATTAAATAATTAAATATACCGTTTTTTAAGTATACTTTTGAGAACTTTTGCATATTTTTAAAGATGACAAAGGAATTCGTTGACGGATGTCGAGACATCGTATTTGAAAATGACAATTCCTTAAAGCCCACTTATTAAGCAAAATTTGACATTCTTGAAACTCGTCTATTAATAAACCTCCTTAATTTAACTGAGATGCCTGCCTTGACTTCGAGACTTTCTAAAACGGTGAAAGTGATTGCTCTTATACTTACTTAGTCGTGTTGCCACATTGGTCAAACTTTAATCGTGAGTTTGAAAAGTTCGGAGTTACCTGGAGAAAGTTGTATTAAACAGAATTTTTATATATTTTAACAGATTTAAAATCTATTCTATTTGAGAAACAGAAACTTTAGAACTCCAACTTTGGGAAGGATTTAGAAAGAAAAGAAATTTAGGTCAGAATTTTGCATTATCTTACTGTAAGCACTTTAAAAATATATAAAGAATTAGTTTTTAGTAAAGTTTTACTTCTGGGAACTTAGAACTTGTTTTAGTTTTATACTGGCAACAATTTTTGGGCGTAGGTAAATTGAATTCAAAACTCTTCTGTTTTCGCATATTCTATAAGCCTAATAAAAAGCTTCATGCCGCACAATACAATTTTACTGTGACTACAATGCGCCTATTTTATGCGGCAAGCACAGTAAAAAAAAACAAATAGCAGACATAACATTGACGTTAGCTAAAGCTTAGCTGTCGAGGTAACGACTGCTGCCATTGGCCGTTATCAGTGTTGCACCTCAAATGCTTTTCGACTATGCTGGCAGTGTTTTCAAATATAGGTATGCATGTATTTTAGTACGTGTATGGATAATAATTTAGTTGTGTATTTATTAGGGGTATACATAATTTAATTACTTGTAATATTTGGTTTCATAATTAGTGGAAAGTGAATTTTAAGATCTTGGATAAATTCTAAACATATAAAACGCAATAAAAGTCTTAAATCATAAGCTTTCTGGGGCTAAATTGAGTTAGTCAGAGTCAACAATTGTTAGCTCTGTGACAGAGTCCTGAAAACTCGCTTTAAGATCTGTACACCATTAAATCCGAATGAGTAGAGTATGCTACTGATAGAAGGCAGGTGAGCTTTCGATAAAAAGCTTTTATTTTCAGATTTAAACATTTGAAGAGGGTTTAAACGACGATTTTATAACAATGAGCCTAATTCGATTAAAAAAAATAGCGTTAATTTTCTCTGTTTAAAAGCAGCCTCTATTCTTTCTGTTAGTCTACCCTAATGCAAATATGTACCATCTCCGTATGCATATGTGCAAATGCAGGTGAATGAATGTATTACTACTATATGTGTGTGTGCGTGGTGGAAGTGGTATCTATTAGCACGTTGATGACCTGGTGTCATACGAAATAGTCACGTTTCAGCTAGATCGGACAACGTGTGTGCACTATTTTGTTGTATTCTCTTATTACTAACTGACGCATACATCACATACTATAATATATGATATGAATAAGTATTGTTTCTTGTTTTTCTAAATATCCGTATAAGTGAATATGCAAATTAGTATGTCTAAATGCCTAATTGAGTCAAGTTTCCGTCTGCATACCGGGTAATTTAAAGAATTACAACTTAATAACAAAAAGTTCGTTGCATTTATGTATAGTAATGACTACTGTAATTATAAATTATTGTACTATTACATTATTTTTGTCTATTGAAAGATATGTGAAGTTAAAGCGTTAATGATGCTTTCAGAACATCTAAAGAAAAGCTTTATAGCTGGATTTCTCATGTCAAGAGCTGAGTGGAATTTTACTCTCAATATTTTCGGAACCTTCGAGTATTTGACAAATAATAATATATCGAGCGTCAATACTGGTTAAGTTGACTTAGTGGTAGTAAAAAGATTACGAATTCTCTGCGTAAGAGCTATAAATATATTTCTTTTTCTTTCCTATTTTAATATTATCGATTAGTGAGTACCTCTGTTGGTCAAATGCAAGGTGAATGCAAATGTTCACATACATACAAACTGTAAGCACTCCTAGTATAATAATAACACAAATAGATGATAGTGTTTCCTTCCGAAAAGAAACACTTTGAGGACTATCATATATTAGGGTGCGTCCGTTTTAAATGCCAGAGTTTAGATTGCCAAATAAGTATTGTTTATTTAATTCTAGAAAAGCAATTAAAATAACTTCCCAAAAGTGCTTGAGGCTTGAAAAAAATTTTAAAAATATTTTTTATAAGGGTTGCCAGCTTTATAAAAATTTTAAGTAAAAAAAAACTGATTAAAGAAATGCATTACATAATGGGTATCAAAGTGAAGCTATTGATAAAGGCAGCTGATATTATTTAGGAAAAGGACTGCCACCTATTTTAAAAAATTTCTGAGAAGGTTTGACATATAATTTTAAAAAAATACTCATATTGTAATATAACACTACCAAACGGGTAAAAAAGAAAAAAGTTTTAACAGCTATTGGAAAATTTTTGATACAATTTTTTCAAAATTTTATTTCATTAAACACCATAAGAGAAATGCTTGGTTACACGATGAGTATCAAACCTAAACCTCTTTGGTAGTTCATAGTGGAAGTTATTAATTATTTTCGTAAAAATTGCCAGCTGTTTAAATTTTCAATTGAAATTGAAAAATATAGTAAATATTTCTAGATATCCCTGTTAAAAAGGCTTAAGAAAATTTCTGTGGAAAATATTTTGATAAATGTTCCACCTGTTGAAAATTTTCATGTAAAAGTTATTGTTAAAATAAATTCGATATTACTAGCTGGTACAAAATAAATAAACATAAATTTATTGCCAACAGAAATATTTTCAAAAGGATTAGCAGTTTAGACATCAATCGAAAATTTTCTTTCAGATTTGTTAAGTAGCGTTAATATTATTTAATATCTTAAAGCATTTTGAATATCTTGAATTTAGATATAATATATTTTTCTGCTTAAAATGTTACAATTTTTGTTTTGCTTTTCAAATTTACTTATTTATGTACTTGAAACTGTACTTTTTGTAATATTCTCTATTTTCGTATGGTAACCACTAATTTCTTATATTTTCAAACACACGACATTTAAGATTCTCTAGAAGCAGAACTAATGGTTATAAGAACTTTATATATATATATACAGTATACGTTTGAATGCACTTTTACCTGCCAACAGAAAATATTGGCACAGATGTGGCTGTCATATGGCGTTAAAAATTAATTGATTTTGCTATTTGTGGCCGCAAATTGCAATTACATTTAACGAGTTGATTTATTTTCTCTCCTTCACACTAGCCAATATACATATGTGTGTATGCATAAATAATATACTTATATGTATATGTGTGTGTTTATAGCGCAATATGTATGGTTAAGGAGAATTTTTTTATGAAGATACTTGAATAAATGTAGAGATCACTATATTGGCTTTAAAAATAAATCGAGTGAAATAAGACATACATGCTGGGGCTAATTTTATACTTTCCATAGACTGATTAGTTTGCGTTTAACAAGATTTTGCGTCTATCCAATTTGGCTGAGAACAAGCCAACCACCTACCAGCGCACATATATATTTATATTTGATCCATTATGTAATATTACAGTACTTAGCTGATTCTTTGGGCGGATATTAAGCAAATGGTTGGGTTAAGAGATGTAATTGGCCAATGAAGTTTCAATATTCGTCGCTATGTTGCTGAACGAAGCTATGATGGGACGCACTGACTAGTCTAAGGTTGCATATTTAATTTTAATTGTTTGTAGATGACTGTCTACATATATAAGTGTTTAGTAAGTATGCATGTGAATATGTTCTTGTTTACTAGTACTCTAGAAACCAGTATTATATACTATACAATAGTGTATATACCGCATGTGTAGATAAATTTGTATACTTTATACTTTCGGCTTGCTACGGTAGGGATAGCATGCCGGAGTAAACGGTAGGTCACAAGTGCTCGAGTAATTATCATAATTTATACAATGATGTTTCGTATAATCCAGGAAGCAAACATATACATACAACACATATGTTTACATACAAATTTATACTACATGTAAAGCGTTGGATATGTCATAGCATACAGTTCATTGACTTTAACGAAGAGTTAACGACAGTTAAAATTTTAATTGTCGCATAAACATGGGTTGCAATGTATAAATGAAGTGGTTAGAATTTTGTCCTTGCCAGTATATGCGAAAGTTAAATATATGAAGAAATAATAAATTGGCTTAAAGAGAATGCCCTATATTTATTTATTTTATGATGAATAGAGCGAAACGAAATTTTTTTTTCTCAGATACTATTGTGGTTAAATCGGTTGAGAACTACAGGCAGTGTAAGCGACTTGAGGGAAAATGTATGTAACTAAATGTAACATTCTTTTCCAGAGCAAAAAATAAAGCGCAGGATATATACAAAATTCTATTTACATAAGGATTATCTAAAATAATTTATATAATAAAAAAAAATTAGAGACTTTCTGAATGTAAACTGAGATACTCACCAAAATCGAACATAACCTAAAAATCGTGTATTTACGAAAACTGAAGTTAATATATCCTATATAGGGTATATTATTGCAAATGTAATATATTTTATACATATATACATATTTTTCTGAACTATTTTGAGACGCTTCGAAATACCTACGTTAATACAAGTATTTATTTCTAATTCAAAAATATAAATTATGTTAATTTAAACTGCTTTCTTTTTAAAATCTGCTGCGCGGTTTTACTAAATTATGCGCCTAACTGTAGCCCATACTTTGTTATTATTACTGAAGCTCCTACAGCAATAAATAAAAGCAAATGATCTCTATTTAAGATGAAAGAAGACTGGGTGCATATTTTTTTATAATGATAAACATGCGATGAATTAAATTATTGAAATAAATTTTTTTTTTTTTTTGTTTAATTGTGTATACTTAATAGTAAAATTGTATTCAACAAGTAAATAATTTTATTATTTAAGCCATTTTCGATTGTCCCATAAATATATTAGAAGAGTTTTTAGAGCAGAAATTCAAGCGGGGGTATGTTTGTTGAGAGACGACTAAACTAAATTTTTTTTTATTATTTTAGGCTTTGACTCTTTTTAGAATTGAATCTTCGAATAGATAATCAAATCGGCGACGCAATTGTGGAATTTTTTAAAAAATATTGAAAACTATTCGTTTAAATTGAAAGTATAATTCCACTAGAAACCCAAAATTATTTTTCTGTTACCATTATTGCTGTTATTGTTGTATCAGTTAATTTTTCATTTCACTGAAAGCCTTGTAATATTGTATGATTTTTGGTAAATTTGAATATACTGTAAGAGACATTTTGGTGAGAATATGTGACATTAAATTTGTTAGGTTTTTAAACTGGATATTTTTATGTTCCTTTTTATTACAGCACTAAACAGTGAAATTTTAAATTAAATTTTGCGAATTTAAAATTTTAATAGTTTTGCATTTTTCGTGAATGTATACATATGTATAACTATAGCAGCAAAATATTAGTCAAAGGTGCAAAAAAAACGTTGAATATACAAATAAGAAACTCGCCGGCTTTCAAAATATTTCATTGAAATAATTTTTATTTTTAAGTATATTTTAAATTTTTACCTTCATTTTGTCAAGAGCTTGCCGTGGGCGTTGATGATACAACATATGCGAGCAGGTGAGTAAGAAAGATGGGCTACAAGAGGAGCAGTGGCGGCAATCCAATATTTTTTACTTTTAGATTATTGCCGGTAAGACATGTTTCGCCCAGCTGTTCACGTTGAAAATGATTTATATGACTTAGCGTTGACATTTGACAACACTTTTTTCTGGTAATTCAATTGAAATAATTCAATAAATTTAAGCTAATATCCCGCAATATTTGTGTTTAATTTATGAAGCTGTTTTTTATTTTTATTTTAATACTAAATGCCGCTAATTTGCATACAAATTATGTTAAGAGACCGGAAGTGTGCGTAGGCGTATACGTAATATATGTGTATTGTAATGAGGGAGCCTGTTGTACATTACTCATACCACCTGTCCGCCACGCAAGAGCAGTGGGGTAAGTGAGTAACACATTTTTTTGAAGAAGATGTTATGTTATGTTTTTATACACATACTTCAAAAATTGATTTTTTGTAGTAAAATAAAATAAAAATAACTTGATTACCTGCTTATTTTCAGGTTCAGGAATCAGCACTTGCTGACAAAATGATAACATCTAATTAAATTTCCTGAGGTTTACTATACATCTTAGTAATGTGTTGACTGCCGCAATTAATGTGCTTATCAACATGTGAACAAGTTGCTTAAACATTTTAGCAATGAAATATATACATATATAATAATAAATATATAATTATATACTAAGTG